GACGGAGACAGAGGGGGAAGAAAGAAAGAGAGAGGCCATAACAGCGGGGGTGGGGGGGGGGGATGGGGGGATGCATGATGTGGGAGATGGTGGCCACTGAATGAAGCAATTATGTAACAGGCGAGGAAGTGGGAGGGAGAGGAGGAGGATTCATGGTGAGGAGGAGGAAGGTGAGAATTCAGTGTTTGCAAAGCCTGTAAGCCTGCAGCACCAAGCTGGGAGGAAAGGTTTTCATTAGGAGCATGTAGGAGCACCACCTACAGGAGAGGCAGTGGCGGTGCAGGAGGGAATAGCGTCAGCGTCTCCTGCCGAATAGCAGTCAGACTCCCCCATTTCACTGTGGGCCCCAAAGTCCAGGCTGTTAAATTGGAATTTACCCCCAGGGCTTGCAGGCCGGCCCCAGCAGCACCCCTGCTTACCCGGCCCTGGTCACCCCCCCATGTCCCCTTTCTCCATCCAGCAAACACCTTCCAGATCAGCCGGCAGCTAAAGGCACACGAGGGCAGTGTTTTCACCATGTGCCAGCTGAGGAACGGCACCGTGATCACGGCGGGGGCCAAGGACCGCAGGGTCATCCTGTGGGACCATGACCTCAGCCCCGAGAGGGACATCGAGGTGGGCAGCCCGTCCAGCTCTGACTTTCTGTATGAAAACAATAAAATATTGACTATGTGTGCTGACATATTGTGTCGGTGTGGCGGCCCTGGAGGTGCCTGAGCAATACGGAGCCGCCCGCGCCCTGGCTGAGGGGAAGGGGGAGCAGTTTTTGGTCGGCACGTCCCGCTGCTTCATTCTGAGGGGCACATTCAATGATGGCTTCCAAGTGGAGGTGCAGGTGAGGAGCAGGGGCAAGCCCCGGACTTCAGTTCCCAGAATCCCTTGCGGCACTACTCCCATTGGGTGTCTTTGTGAAGGGGGGGTCAGAGTGCCATTTCCAGTTGCTGTTCCGTGTTTCGTACCAGTGCCGTGCTTGTGAGATAACAGAGTCATGGGCCTCCTTCATCTTCCTCTTCCTCTCCTCAGGGTCACATAGATGAGCTGTGGGGCCTGGTCTCCCATCCTTTCAAGCAGCTCTTCCTCACCTGCGCTCAGGACAGACAAGTGTTCTTGTGGAACGCAGAGGACCACTGTCCAGAATGGAGCAGAGTCCTGGAAGTAAGCCACTCCCCCATATCCTCAACTGCAGTGCATGCTGGGAGCCCAGCAGTGTGCTATAAGTGTCCTGTTCATGTGTTTATGGGACAAATGAATCCTTCAGGCTCCTACCATGTTCAGCTGATTACTCACCTTGATTGTCAATATATCCTTTCTTCAGTCATTATTGTGGAACATGAGGTTTTTATTCTTTCAGTTTGTGTGCAGGAATCTCTCCTGAATTTGTTTACTGCTCTGTACACGCCTTAACGTTGTGGTACTTTAATCAAATGCCAGGCCCTCCTATTCTTTCTCTCTCCTTCCCCTCTCCACTCATCCCTCTCTCTCTGTTGCTATCCTCCCCCTCTATGCTCACCTTTTCTCTCTCCTTCCCCTCTCCACTCATCTCTCTCTCTGTTGATATCCTCCCCCTCTATGCTCATCCTTCTCTCTCTCCTTCCCCTCTCCGCTCATCTCACTCTCTCTCCGCTCGTCTCACTCTCTCACACCCTTCTCTCTCCCTGTCCCCCACCCAGGAACCAGGACACTGTGCAGATTTCCACCCCGGGGGCGCTGTTGTGGCCATTGGAAGTCATTTGGGAAAGTACGTCTCAGTACTAAGGGGGGGTTCACTTTGCAGGCTTTTCTTGTGATTCCTGATCTTTAACCCCAACGGTCCCTGTTCCCGTGGCAGGTGGTACGTCCTGGACGCAGAGACGAGGGACCTGGTCGCCATCCACACTGACGGGAGCGAGCAGCTGTCTGTCATTCGGTACTCCACAGGTAGGCGGCTCCGACGAAACCCGTCCACGGAATCCTGTCCTGTCCCCTGGTCGGCCGGCTTGCAGAGTTCCCATAATGCCCTGCTCTTTTGCTTCAGATGGCACGCTGCTGGCAGTGGGGTCACATGACACCTTTATTTACCTGTACACCGTGTCGGAGAATGGGAGGAGGTACAGCAGATACGGCAAATGCACTGTGAGTCACATTCAGCATCTGCGTTACTGAGACATATAGTGCCATCTGCAGGTTCCCTCTGGCTGTCAGAGCTCTCATCTGCTCTCTTATACATGTACAGAAGTTTAAATGTCACCGGCGGTGTTGAGGGCCAACTGCTTAAGGCCCAATGACCACCAGGGCCCCCCATCTAAATGGGAATGAAAGGGAAGGTGATAAATGACAACTAAATTAATCACATTTTGCTTAGGGCCCCAGAAAAGCTTCTCGTTTGCTTTCCACGTTATGCGTCTGGTTATATAACAAGATATTTACTGCTGCTATTTATGTTTTGTTCCCTCCTGACTGTTTCCCTCCTGCTGTTTGAACAGCCTTTACTGTGGTAAAAATATAGCACATACGTTACACTTCCGTGGAGCGCAGTGTTTAATCTAGTCTGAGTAAAAAATAACAGACCTGTTGACAGCGACATTAATCCTGTTGATCTTCAGGTTGCCATGAGTTTGAGTAGATACAAAGAGCACGGTACCTGGATTGCCTGTCTGTGTAAAGACTGTTCCGGAAAATGAAGCTTGACAACATGGCACAGTGTTAGAGGCTGGTGTGTGGGGGGGCTGTTTCACACGCAGCACACCTCTGTAAGTGTGTGGAGGGGCTGAGATCTGAGAGTGAGAGTGTGGGAGTCTGAGAGTCTTCAGCTATGAGAAAGTGCACAGATTCATGCTTCTGTGCCCATATTTATAAAGCATCTCAGAATCGCTCCTAGGAATCGTGCTAAGAGTCTGACTAGGTTAGAGTTTGTCCTAGAGATGTGAGAAGTAGCTGAACCCAGAAGGGTAACTTTCCTTCTGTCGTCTCTCTCTCCTACAGGGCCACTCCAGCTACATCACTCACCTTGACTGGTCCCTGGATAACAGCTTCATCATGTCTAACTCTGGAGACTATGAAATCCTGTACTGTGAGTAGCCTTCCAGTAGGGGGCAGCAGTCTGTGCTGTCTCATCTGTGAGGTTCTCCAAAATGTATTGTATGACTCAGCCCTTAAGTCTAGTTTCAAGTGTTCAGCATATAGGTCTTGATGCCTTGAATACCTGGCTTCATTCTGCTAGTCTTTCTTGCATGATCCAGCTGCCCTGAGCTAATCTTTCCGCCTGTTTCTCCTTCCTCCGTCTCCAGGGGACATCCCAAACAGTTGCAGGCTGATCAGGAACCGCTCAGAGTGTAAGGATGTGGACTGGGCCACATACACGTGCGTGCTGGGATTCCAGGTGTTTGGTATGTGTGCTCAGTGCGCCGTCCTCAGTGCGCCGTCCTCAGTGCGCCGTCCTCGCGTACACGTCGCTTTGCTGCCACCTGCTGGACACTGGCATCTCACCATGAACGCCAGCATGTCAGGTGACAGCGGGGGGCTTTGTACTCTCCCCCTGTGATGATGCCCCTGATTCCCGCTTTGCCCAGGGGTGTGGCCCGAGGGCTCGGACGGCACAGACATCAATGCCCTGGTCCGCTCTCACGGTCGGAGGCTCATCGCCCTGGCGGACGACTTCGGCAAAGTGCACCTCTTCCGGTACCCCTGCTCCAGGCCCAAGGTGAGCTGGCCCGTAACAGGAAGTACTGGCAGCCTCTGCTGCCCAGTGATGGCGACCATATGCAGAGTCCTTGCTGATGACAGGTTTTTTTCTGCCACATTCTTTGCTCGCAGGCCCCAAGCCATAAGTACAGTGCCCACAGCAGTCATGTGACCAACGTTAGCTTCCTGTGTAACGACAGCCACCTGCTGTCCACTGGGGGCAAAGACACCAGCATTATGCAGTGGCGCCTGATGGAGAAGACCCATCCCCTGGGCCCAGTGGAGGGCCTGTGCCTTGGACTGGGGGAGGGGATGAGCCATAATCCTGCCCCCTGGGGCAGAACCTTAGCATCCGCAACTGCAGACTGCACCCAGTTCGTGAGCGCAGCCACGCCCTCCACGTTCGACCAGCAGAAACTCTCCCCCGGCACACCGTCCACCTCCGGGAGCACGCTGAGCGCTGAGGACAGTCTGGAACAGCGCAGTGACGACACGACCACTCCTGTGGATGAGCACGCCCCCTCGCTGCCCTCCTAAAGACCCAAAGCTCCCCCTGGTGGCTGCTGTGTTACTGCAGCCAAGAGAGAGAGACAGACCTCATAGTTTGTCTCTTATTTTTGCTTATAAAAACAACTGGAATCCTCCTGGTTTACTATGGCTTCAGATTAAAGAGTGTTTTACTTTTAATATACCTGGAGAAGTGAGAAGAGGTTTGTAAAGAGTGTTATACGGAGCACACGTAAATGGGGAGAAATGGGAGTTTTATTCATCAAACACGCTGCAGTACCTGCACCCTCCTGCAGGTGTCTCACTTTGACTGATGAGGAAGACGCCAGAGTGCCCCAACACTCTGACCAGGCGTTGTCTTGGTGACATCACCAGGGGTGGGTCAAAGGGGAAAAAAATATACATTCATTTTAGTCCTGATTATTTCATAGTCTGTTTATTGTTCAGTTTTTCCTCAAGTGTTTCTTTTTCATTGGTTTTGAATAGTGTCTGAAAGATTGGAAATGGGGAGGACTGGGGGTGTGATTAATCACCACATGCATGGCCGGACATCTAGCAGATAGCTGCTGTCTCATATTGCAGCCTCATAATTCACTTCAGTATGACAGGGGGCGCTGTTGCTTAAAGCTTCGCTCTGACGTTGAGAACGGAGTGACGTCATCCTGGGAAAGGGGGGGAGCAGGATTAGCATCTGATTGCGTTTGTCTGCCTGTATTAATGGCAGTAGGTGGTCAGGAATGTGACACAGTGTAACTTAGGGTGTAACTTATGCAGAGTGAAGCTGGCCAGTGTTACTTGCAGACTCTGGGTGTTCGAGGACCCAGGAAGGTGACGAAACCGCCGAAATCTCAGGCAGAGACTCAGAGAGCACAGAGTCTCCCCCCAGGTCCACTGCAGCCGCCACATGTACTTCCTGTCTGTTGGGGGCGGCGTCTGCGACCTGCTGTGTTTGGGAGGCATCAGTGTCAAGATTGGGGTTATTAATGACACCCAGTGAGGTGTAGTGACCTCTTCTATTGTGCATGAACTGTAACAGTAAACTCCATGTTACGGCCCACTGTAACATGGACTTTAGGTGCATAGTAATGATCAGAGTGAGGCCTGGACAGCAGATGCCAAAATAAAGCGTTTTAACATGACAGTAATGTGTCTCTTGTTTTTTTTAAAGGGATCATAACACAGACCTGGCCATGGAAATTTCACCCGGAAAATAAAAATGGCTTCTCAGTGATTGCTTTCGCTTTTATTATAAACGAAAACCTTGCATTTTTAAATGCTGTTGCATTTTTTTTTTACCTTTTATTCTGCACATGTTCAGATTTTGCTCTGTTTTATGATCTATCCTTTGCTGTGTCTTAACAGAAGATTGTTTTAAAATGGAAACGTGTCACACAGATATTGCTATTGGAATTTGTATGTACGTTTTGGCCCTGAGAAATATCTGTTAGATATAGAGAAATAAACAAGTTTACTATATATTACTATATATAGTGTAAGGCATGGGTTCCCAAACTCCCTCACCTGGGGATCTGTCGTCTGTCTGGAACCCAAACCCAAAATATATAATGAAATACCATAACATGCTAACAATATAAAAAGATAAAAAGAAAAACAAAACTAAAAGTTAAAGTATACAAACAGTATTTCCTCAATTAAATTTTTAGTTTTAAAATATTGGTTTTAATTTTATAATTTGTATTGCTGTTGATGACAATTAAGGTTCCCCTTTACAAACCCCTACATCTCTCAAACAAAACAGACACAATGGAACATCTCACATAATGAAAATGCAGATTAATCTTTGATTCAGTTATAACATCCTGTATGTTTCCTCATCACCCACCTCAACCCTCCCCATCCGTACTGAAGGCTGAACTCTAACTGTATTTGCAACTCAACATTAGCACTAAAGGCTGAACTCTAACTGTATTTGCAACTCAACATTAGCACTAAAGGCCTTTTCACGCCAGGCCTGATTTTTCCGCACGAAAAAAACTAATGACATCATCATATTCTCATAATGAATAGTAAATTCAACCCCCTCCCTTGATGTTCAATCCAAAGTTAAGGTTCAATCCCAAAGTTAAATAACAATTAATCATCCTGGTGTGGGGGACTGGCCTGAGGATGGATCTCACCATTCCCGGGCAGCTAACCCTTTCTCCTCACTTGCTCAATAGTGGTTCACATCTTGCTCCTTATAATAATTTGTTGAACTTACGAAGACAACAATTTATATTTTTTCAATTGTGCTGAAAAAAAGCAGCAAAAAAAACCCAACTGAACTTCCTACTGGGCATACCAGTGTCAGAGTCACCCTTACTGGCATACCAGTGTCAGAGTCACCCTTACTGGCATACCAGTGTCAGAGTCAACCTTACTGGCATCCCAGTGTCAGAGTCACCCTTACTGGCATCCCAGTGTCAGAGTCAACCTTACTGGCATCCCAGTGTCAGAGTCAACCTTACTGGAATGCCACCGTCAGAGTCACCCTGATTGGCATACCAGTGTCAGAGTCACCCTGATTGGCATACCAGTGTCAGAGTCA